TTCATGCCTTTAAAGTCATAGTTCCAAATGGTTCGAGAGTTGTAGCTCTTCTTCAGGTACACTCTACTGCTCAGCCTTGCCTTGGTGGGCAAATTCCTGAACTTGGCCTTCTGGAAGCTGTTTTCCATCGTCCTCTACCTCGATCTTTTTCGCAGCCGTGTAAAATGTGCTAAAATAAATATTTTTCAAGAGGAAGTGGAAAGTTCCTCGTGGTTGAATAATTTTACGTTTGCAGGATGAAAGCAGCACCAGAGGGAGTATCCCTTTCTGAATCAGCAAGAGCCGAAATGTCTTTTTACAACGCTCCAAAGCATGTGGAGGTGAACGTTGTTTTAAGATTGCGAACATTCCCCTTCTATCGCTAATGGGTTCATTGTAGACAGCTACAATGAAACCAGCCGCTGTGGAACCTGCACAGCATACTTTGAGCACGGAGTTCAAGATTACCAAGCCAGCGGCCATTCCATCAGATAGGGCCGAACACAAGGTACGAAATGTTTGGATGAAAAGATTGCTTTTTCTTCGTACACAGGCACAATTTAGGTGACAATAGGAGTTGCTAACGTCAATCCTCAGATGATACACGAGTGTGTTCCGAGCAAAAACCCTTGTACTTTCCTCACTGCTTCTGCAGTTAACTCTTCGGCACTTCCATTTTTACCAGGCAGTGCAGCTGTTTACCTCAACAATTGTTTCGTTGCAAAGGTGAATACATTTTTTTATAGTTGTCAACAAATTCAGTAAAAACGTCCGAAATAGTCTACAGAATCGAACCGTTGGTGCAACTTTTGGGCTGTATCCAACGAATATGTTTTTTCAGACTCACATGAAGAATGTATCTCCTGGCGAAAGATTCTCCTGCTCTCTTGGGGTAGATACTGCCCTACGTGTAGAATACAAACCAGTCAAAAAATACCATGAGCAGGTTAGTTCGTTTCGCGTTCATTCACTTTGCAAGCAAATAAGCCCATTTAGGTCGGCCTCATCAGCAAGAGTTCCTCTAACGTTCATGAGCAGGTAATAGTCGTCAAGAATTCACGTGCGCAACCTGTATTGCTGACGATCAAAGAACAAATTCCAAGAAGCACAGACGACAAAATTAAAGTAATGTTTTTGTTGTATAATGGCTTAAGTAGTGACCTCATCTGCATTCGATATCCTTAATCATAATCACTATTCTTTAGATGAGGCTTGTTGCCCCGGTAGTATCTCAGACCGATGA